TTGCACATTCCTCTCGCTTTGTTGCAGCGGAGGCATCACTGCACGCCTGAGTGGTGGATTGGCAGTGAGAAATAGGATGGAATGTGCTGTGACGCAAATTCTTCTGATGCAAATCTCCAATGTTGAAGACGACTTGAGATTCGCAGTCAGGACGGATGGTTTGGTGTTTGGAGGGAGATGGAAAGCATCGCGCCACGTTCGGTGGTGTGGATTGTTTGCACAACACTGAATGTGTGCATGCGCTCTCCACTTCTTCTTTGTTGCAAAGTCGTTCTCTTCTTCCACTTCCCCCTAATCGCCTCATTTTTAGCAGGTTCAGACATAAAGACCTCGGTACGTCAACATTCAAAGGGATGACGTTATCCAAAGTATGACACCTCATTTTTCAGTCAAATTGTGGAAGATACTGCAATACGGAGGAAGAGGTTTCGTAAACGTATTCTGACGAACACTCGACAATTTTGAGGCGATGTAATTTGATGGAGTAAACTGTGGCACGACTTTTTAGCCAACTGGGACCCTTTCTGCTTGCTTAGCTCTTTATGTCAAATCAAATGCCGAATATAATGCCCTAGTCTATTGCGGCTTGAATTCCCCTACAGATTTTTGATAGATGGACTTATTTGGACGCCGTAGGCCACCTCAAAGTGGTCCTTATATGGAGGCCTAGAAATCATGTTTTAGCTGTCCCTGCCTATTCTTTAGAGTGGATCCATTTTTTTGGTTTACTCCATTGGCTTTAGCTTCAGTTACTCCGCATGTGGATCTCGTAAATGATCTGCATTAACGTACTCCCTAAAATGAAGTTTTTTTCCGTGAGCCTTTACAAAGTCCAAACTCTATTAGTAACAAGCTGCCTGAAGAAGTGGTTTTCAACTCATAAATGCTGATTGTGTCAGCCCTACTTTATTCTGCTTAGGCAGTAGACAAGCATTACGCGATCTACTAGCAACAGTAAAGGCAACCTTTTAAAGAGGTGCACAAGGCTTAAAATTTGATTTCTTTTACAAGGCCTCTTCATCATCCTTGCAGTGTAACGCTGGAAAGGTGCATTTCAAATGATAAAACGGATTTATTAACAAATTTCCGGAGTTGCATTAGTTTTATAGTCAATAAAATCACTGGTTGGCAGGAAAAAGGACACTCAAATGTGCACTTGTTGAATACAAAAGCGGAGCTTCTCATTGAAACTCACATGTATAGGCGTATTTTATTGGGTGTGCGCATAATAGTGGCTTTTTAAAGCATGTGAAGCAAAATATGGGATTGGTCTAAGAAGGGGAATCACCTTCATGCACTGTGCATCAACAAAGGCTCGGCTGAAAGGCATAAAGGAAGCTGACGAATTTTTTGCGAGTGGTGAATTGATAGCTGGAAAAAAACCACTTCTATCAGCTATTGTTTTAAGCGGAAGTGTTCATATTTGAAAATTGGATGTGGCAATTGCCAGTCTTAATCCCGTCAAAGGCGGCGGTTTTTGAGGTTTAGAATTTTCCGTTAATGTGTGTGGCTTTGTTTGACTTTGTTTTAACTCACATTTATTCGTAGATTCTCAAGAACCTACGCCTTGTGCCACCTCATTTTGTCATTCTTAAAATTAACCTGCCGTCGATACTTGGCTCACTGCCATGAATGGAGCTGCTTTGCAAGTTTTGGAGGCGGGAAACGCAAGGGCAGCACTCTTTGTTCCAAAACAGTGAGAACGCTAATGGAGACGCGGTTGTAGTTAGCTGAGGTAAGTAGTTTCTCTGGTATAGACGTTTCACTGACCCTCAAATGAGCTACCAAATAACAGCAGTTCATAATTAATAATTCCATTATGGAATAGTAGACTCGCCTCAGAGTAGCCTATACTTAAAAGGATCTTGTCTGGCAATGCCAATTTCCCCTAAAAACTTTGATCTTGCTGTGAGTTAATTCTTTAGCCCTTTTGAGCATTCTGCTTAAGCATTTCTCCTTTTGCCACCAAGAAGATCTTAAGGTGCTACAGATCATGCAGGTCGTTCAAAATAGCATACAAACACAACAATAAATAGGGGTCTGCGGTCAAGTCATAAAATTTATTCAAAGAAATCCCTTTATGACTCGTAATACTGCAATGAAGCGTTCCAATGACCGGATGAGAGGGAACAAAGCGGAACCACTGAGTACTCAAAAAGATGGTCTCGTTGAAGACCGTGCTCCGATTGAAACGTACACGAAACGAAAGAGTTTGTTATATAAATACGCATACAAGTAAGTTTACAAAATCACTTGTGTTTTTTTTACGAGTCTACCTGCTTGATAGGTTCCAAAATGATTTTAACTTTGTTAAATCGCATTTTAATTTCATTAACGTGAACCACTATGCTACTAATGCACAAATAAGTAGGTGCTTGCAACCTTTTTGTCAATAATACATTATTAGCAGCGGTGCTAATTTGCACTACTTCAAAACACATATTGCACAGCTAACTTGATGCATTCCAGTCAACGCTCGAATCCGATTTTTCCATAGCCTTCTACTATCCGAAAGACATGACACGATGAATGTTAAAAGAGATTATTTTTTTAAATTGGAATGCCCATCACCATTTGTTTAGTCGCCTAGAGGGCGTGCGTTGAGCGCCTGTGATGCTGCGCCCTGTTCGGTGTCACTAAGTTAGGTCCACCAAAATAGGCCGCAAATGCGACAGAGCCTAAAAGTCACTGCAGCTCCAAATGTTGCAGGGCTACTCCATAAAACACGAGTGGATTCCTCTATGCATTATTAAAGCTTATAGTACAAGCGGAAGCAGCACGGAATCAATCTTTACTCCACCTAAATAATAAAACAAAGGATTACAAAGTTGCTTGTACTACTAGGGAATGCATGCATTACCGTTGGACATAAAAGTGGCACCTGATGCTTAAGCAAAGGTTGTTTTCTTCTACTTTGACCGCGGTATCACCTTAATGTCCTGGTTTTTGAATTTGCACCTATTTTAGAGGCGTAGTGGTTTAATCGCATTACATGGTAATCTAAAGTTAGAACCACTAAGTCACTGTTACATTATCTTACCCCGAAAACACTCATCAGTGTAAAATTTTGTGATGATATGAATAAGCTCTCAAAGGAGGAAATGCTTGACATTTCAGTAGAGTGTTATCACAAAAGATGCAAGACAGACAGGTTTCAATGTCTTGAACAATGAAATTGCCCATTCTGTGAATATTTAAGCATTTGAATGTTACATTTCGCTCTTCCATAAATGCCAAATCAAAGGGTTCGATCGGTGACAAGAAACAGGCAAGGTTGGATGCGTGTCAAAGTAATCACGGCTCGGTAATGCGACGCAGTGTTACACCGCGGAAGCCTGCGAACGTCATGGACTACAAAGCCCTGTCGGCATCTCTTCGCCAATTGTGCTTTGAAATGCAACTTATTACTTACCTCATAAATTAAGAGCTATTAAGAGTAAACAACTCCTCAGAAGAGGTGAGGCAGACAATTATTTTATGCAAAATATCATCTGTGAGGTTTGACAGTATGTCGGCTGATTTAAAGAGCTGAACTGTCAAGTATTCCCTTTTTAAGTTGGGCATGTGCCTCAAATCTGGTCAAAGGATCGAACAGAGAAACAGGCACCAAGAGAGGGGCAGAAGGAGAGAAATTACATCGTGTGGGATGCTCCCAGTAAGAGCTCAACAGCCTCAGTCTCATGCATCACAAGGGCCACGGCCTCTCCCAAGTCGCAGCGCGAGTTGACAATGGAGGCGGCGTCCTTCGCGGCGTCGAGGGAAGTAAACGATGCGATAAATTGGTTGGGATTAAAGAGAGCATGCAACTCAAGCAAATCGTCTCCCAAAATGCACTTCATTCTCCTCTCCTTGAGGTGGCTTAACACTCCTGTGATGAATAACCAGCCCCAAGCTGCTTTTGATGTGAGCTCTATGAATTCTGCATCCGCCTGTCGGGATCGAGACAAGAGTTGAGTGAATCTCTCCGCACCATAGGGCTGGTGGTAGAGATCTGGATTTTCATGAAATTTCCTAATGTGACTGTAAATCGCCTAAGGAGAAAGAATAAGCAATGCTTGTCACAATGCCAGCTTGTTGGGTGGTACAAGGAAAGCCAGTTTCGAAATTTTGACTCGCCTTTTGCTCCTTCTGAAAGCTCAGCATTAGCGAGATGGGGAGGATGGTCCACTGCGTCACACTCTTCTTTTGGAGTGTCTAAAATTTTTGAAGACTTTAAGACTCTTTCGCACTGTATTTTGGGAATAAATGAGGTGATTAGAAGAGTACTGACGCATGGAGGAGGAAGAGAAGCAACACCTGGCAAAGATTAACCAGAATTATGTACTAACTTGATCTGATGCACACCGACCTGAAGCCGTATTTTAGCATCGTCCGATCGTACATTGCAGAATGAAAAGAAAAAAATGAGATATGTTTACAGCAATGCGCTCTACATCAACTGTATTCAAAGGACTTGCCTGGCATTTGCGTTGGGGCACCGACCGCTGTCAGAGTGGGACCTTTATTGTAACTTTTATAGTCATCTTGTTTGTGAAGGATGGGGAGGGAGGACGAGGGTGGGTCAAATTCAACAGCACCACTGGTGTTTTGATACTGTCGGGAGTAATTGCCGAGGTCGATTGAACAACTGCGCGGCGTAACAACCAATTAAAATGTGCAGCTACGCCTTCTAATCCAATGGGACACATTGTATCTTCAGTTAACAACTCTTAAGACGGTGTGGAAAGCTGCCTGGTTGTTGTTGTTGTTAATTCTGATTAGAACCAAAAAAAGGCTTCAATTTGTTCACAGAGCCTACTGACAGGGAAGATAATAAGAAGGCCATAATGCGGCGTCCGGAGCCTGCGATATCGACGAGAGAGGAAGGACTGGAAGGTTCTAGAGCCTTGCCTCTCAGAGAAGGTGCATATGCGTTAAAGTGACGAGTTTGACAGTCAAAAGAGTGCCATGTTAAACAGTTGTCCAGCATTTACTCACCAAAACTTCTCAGTCAAAACATTGTTTGTTTGTTGTTGGCATTGCTAATGACTAGCACCCTTGAAGAGAGGGAATTTAACCCTATGAAGTTCCTTGGTATAATTTTGTCATTTCTTTGTGTGTGAGCACTGAAGCGAAACGGCAGAGACCAACATGTGGCAAAAATTTATGTACATTTAGGTGGTAAAGTCCTCATAAGCTCCTGATCTCTCTGTTTAAGTGTCCTAGTCATATCACCGTGGCCAGATTCTCCTGACCTTCAAAAGTGAGGTGGAAAGGTGGAAGGATTACTCAGTTGCACCAGATCAAACTGTTGACGTCGACTCGAAGGCCACGTCGTTGTGCAAAGCTGTGCCACAGGAGAACATAACTTCGCCCGTCTCACTGCTAATATCGCACCACCATTTAGTCGCTTTTACAAGCACCGCTTAAAATTGGAGCGGGAGTTGTTTAACATCCTCTTACAGCATCTCTACCACTACCAGCAGTTAACGTGGCTCATAATTTTTAAGCCCTCTCATCTATAACAATTTTTCTGCCTTCTTAACGCCCTCTAATTGGTGCCGTCACTGGAGACTCTGTAATTAAAGCGTCATTTAAAAAGGGTCTTGTAATTATTCCTCCAAGGGGAAGGACTTGACTGCTTAAATTCGCCATGACAAAGACGTTCAGGGCAACAAAAATGAGCCCTAGCGGGAAAGCAATTTAGGCGGGTTCATTCCGTAGTGCTGGCCTGAAAAGAATACTTTCAAACATACCATTCCTTTTTACAAGACAGTGTTGGTCCTCCTCACAGTATCGAAATAACTTGACATGATATGACGCGACGGCACAGGAGTAGCTCTACTGGCCTTGATGACGTCTAGATGGCATAAGACCTGTGCGCGCCTTCCGGAGCACCCTGATTCAAGCTGCTACGAGGCCTGACGCATTACACCGACCCCTGTGACCTCACAGACGTCTATGCTCTCCCCTAGACGGCCTCTGTGTGTCACGTGGACTGTCACAACGTCAAACAGCACTTCCCAGTCAATAGACGGCTCTCCTCCCGCTATGGATTGTGTCAAGGTAAGGACACGACTTTTTTTAAAAAATGAAAAATTGTGCTACTAGCGAACACATTTTGATAACACATTGTTAAGGTTGACCTTGTTAAAGGTGGAAAATCATGGCAAACTTAAGCCCAACTGACTACAGCATCACAAATTTTAATTTAATATGGCCCTGACCGTTCCCTAAAGGCTGGTATCAGATTATAATGTCGCCAACTTTGCAGACCAATTTGACACAACTGCACTTACGGTAGTCTTCAGTCATTCGTGAGTAAAATTAACCCATTGTTGACGGCGTGCTTACTGATAGGAGCACGATGTAGTCGGGAGATGAGAGTTTAAAGCGTACGAAAATTGTTCTACTTTCTCGAAATCATTAGTCTCTGCCTAACTTAACACTCATACTTCGTCTTTCACTTGTCCACTTCACCTCCATCCAATAGCCACAAAGGAGGGAGAATGGATATGCCCTTAATTTCTTTAAATTAATGGCCCAAGTAAAACTGGAGTAACGCCGCTTTGCGGCTGTTTTAATTGTCAGCGTGACGCCTGTTATTGACAGACAAAAGAGGAGGAAGTCAGAGGTGAGACAACAGAACCAGTGTGCAAAACGGCCTCGTTAATAACTCATCAGTATAGGCACTTGCTTTTGAGGTCTATTGTTAGGAGTTTAAGTGAAGAAAAAAGGCAAAGACAAATAGTAATGCAAAAGTCGGATGGTATCCTTAAAGTAGCATACGCTTTTCGATAGCATCGCCTTTCCCGGTATTGGTAGTGGTGATGCACAAGAACAAAGGCAGAAACTGAGTAATAAGCATTGGAGAGTACTTCTAACAGGCCTCAGTAAGGAAAGGGAAGGCACCTTGTAAAAGCTTATTGCTGAGCAAACTACAATCCCCATTTCACTATGCAGCTACTTCAACTTGTCCTTCAAAGCTCTGGGTGATGAGATGGACAGGAACTAAAATTGCTATGGTAACTACCAACCGTATGGTCATCCAATTATCAGCGGTGAGGAAAAGTTTTGTACTCGCTGAAAGAAGTATGAGAAAGTGTGAATTTGAAATTTACAACAATGCTGATGAAGAGCTCAAATGCATCTCCTTGGGTCAGAGTCGATCCGGCTATCATGCGAACCTCGCCTTTACACTCAATATCCGAAAAGATCATCTAAAATAATAACAGTATCACAATAGGTTTCATACAAATAGTAAAAGGAAGTTCAAAACGTAGTTTCCAAACGTAGTATTGAAAGGGAAAGGAAATGGCAAGGGAAAGTAAGCTTTCCTCTAGTAGGATACTTTTGACAACTGTTTATATTCGCTGTGTACTTCCTGTCCTTTGTAAGTTTAAGTGCTAACTTCGTAAAAATGTGCGAACAAGGGATGAATGCAGAGGTTGAAACGAACTTGCTTGCTTTGAGAATTCGCAATTTTACAATCTACCAGTAAAATCAAGTAAAAGTGTCGAACTAATAAATCTACGGAAACAAGAAAGAGCGATTGCATGCACTAAAAGTTTCGAATGCATTAAGACACCAAGTGTGGGTGGACAAGGCTACGAGCCATAAAGTGGTAGTAAAAATGGTGCAAGTCATGAAGCGAATTTGCCAAAAACCTAAAGTCTAAACATGTTTGATTAATTGGGTTTGTAGAGACCTCGACCTCCTACCAATACCCAATTGCCTCTTGTGTTGATAATTTTGACATCAGCAACATGAGGTCGAAATTGGTTATTTGAGCAAAGGCAGGGTACAACGGAGCTTAAACATGAGCTTGTCACATTATTTTTGGATCGTGTATATGAATTATTGAGCTTCGGACTAATAGGTTTATTTCAAATTGGAATGTGATTGTGGCTTTGATTGCTTACTTTGACCACGTACAAGTTAAGGATTAAAGGTGGAAGCCTTTAATTAATTTTTATCCTCAAGATCTGAGCATTGGTATCATTGTCGCTGCTCACTTTGAGAAGTTGCGTGGACATGAATGGTGATAAGGTACTAAGACATCAGCAAATGTATTTAAAAAGTAATTACCTAAATAACCAGTAGAAGAGGAAACGAGTAAGGTAGCCTAATTATGGTCGAGAAGGAATGTAATTTCGGACGTTTTTCTTGGAATTTTGCGCCACTTAAAACCGGATTAATAAAAGTGCAATTAATTTGGCATCATTTAACGCTACTTTAATTGATACATTTTACAAGGCTAGCTCATTACATGGGTTCCGGTACCATTTAAAATTCACGTATTACTCATTTTGATAAACTGAAAGCAAGGAGTTTTATTGGCTTCAGCAAACATTGCACGGATGAGTGAGGATAAGAAGAACAACCAGCATCATTATTACACATAAACATCACCGGCTAAACTACAAAGACCAGCAGAACGCAAGCGTTCACTGAAAGGAAAAGCCGTGTTGGAAAAGGTTGTATTTTTGGTCCATCTTATTAATTAAAACAAACTCAAAAATTGTTTCATAATGCGGGCTCAGAAAGCATTACCGAATTTTATTTTAAATCTTGGTGATTTTTACTTAATACCCAATATGAAACATTAATTAAGGACTAAAAAACTAGGCTTACAACTGGCTCAACTCTGATTTTTCAAAGTGGTTTCGTTAAACTTACTTCGTTCTAAAGGTCCGAATTCGCCTGAACATTAAAATATTTGCATTTTGCATTGAGGCTCAAATACTCGATAACATTCTGATCGTCCTTGGGCCTCGACTCTTTCTTGACTAGTTGTAGTGGTGCAATTCAATGGAGAACATAGCTACGCCACATAAAGAACTCCCACCATATAGAAATAGACATGAAGCAAAGATGAAGCAGAGTAGGTTGGACCTTGACTTGGCGCGAAGACTAGCTCAGCTCCCATGGTCGAGACGAATGCCGAAATAACTGCCAGACATGCCAGTGGTCACTGTAATGCTTTGTTATTTGTGACTGCCCTACGTTTGGTGGTCACTTTGGATCTGTCTGGCCCTTGTACACGTGGGTTGGCCTTAGGGCCATGCCCAGGCCCATTTGTCCTGTCGTCTTCAGAATACATGTATGCATCTGCACTTACTGACTTCTTATACCGGCCAGGAAGTCTTGAGGAGCTACAGTCACCAAATCAAAGTATTACATAACTACCCAGCTGGTGGTAAACAGTTCCAGCATAACCAGAAGAACGAGTTGCACCTACAGCTGAGCTAATTAGTTAGCAGCTTTGCTTTCTCCCATCTCTCTTCTACTACTAGTCCAAGTTTAAGGCGTATGAAAGCGCCAAAAGCCATATTATGCTCTGTTAGTGCAATAGGGTAGGTAAATTAGGATCAACTTGAGAATCGTCCACCAATACGTCCATGCGCTTGCAAAATTCAAGCTCATTTATCATTCAACTATGTACATTAACTTCCGCTACGTTCAATAATGTCATTTTAGTCAAAAAATATTCACTTTGCTTTATCAGTTCAACCTTTAGAGTAAGGCACCATTCTGCAACATGTTGACTTGTTCGAAGAATGAGAAATGCATGATTTGTGAGTTTCCTTGCTAGAAGAAGGAAATCCTTTAACAATTTTCATTGGCCTAGCTCTAATGTTAGGATATACTCACTTCGAGCCTCCCCGGTAGGGCAACCCATGCTCTTCTTTTGGGCCTGTGTCAATAGTTGGAGAGATCACCGTTTCCACTTGTATTACTGCAGGTTTTAAGAGTATCGTTTACCAAACAGTAAAGTACATCTCTTAGCCCAGTTTAGGAAGGCAACTGAATTTTATGCATTCTTCTTAAAGAAAACTCTAGTAGGCGTGAAAATTCGGAGGAAAAATCATGCGAATTCTCCTAATTACCACAGTTGGTCCTTACGGCTCGATCACTCGCCTCCGGTGTTTTCACTTAGGCGCCCCCAGCTACTAACCGTCAGTCTGCTCATCTCGATGCAGACACTATCGCTCAAGTACATTTTTTCTCCTGCTTCTGCTTCACTGGGAATGTGGTCCTCCCGCCAGTGACGCTTACCGTTTCTCATTATCAATCTTCTTGATTTAAAGTGGGTTTACTTAACCACGCCGTAGGCCCTTAAATGTCTCGCAGATTGCAAAAACTGTGCTTGCGCTATCCAAAAACAGCTTCATCCCTTAAGCGGCACTCCACTCCTTTTCCATAGCCTTAAATGCAGATCTGGGAAATCACAGCTTCAAGCTCTGTTTGATGGACCTTTTCAGTCCAACCCAATGCAGATTGTGGGGGTGAAAAATCAGCTCTGATACCCACAAAGGTCGCAACAAACCAAGCGTTTGCCTTTCCACCGAGGTTTTCCACATTTAAGCAGAGAACAAAACAAATCTAGCGCGCAAAATTTAACACCAAAAATACGAGTATAAGAGATGAGTAGGCAAGAGTAATGACAGTTTTGAGGTATGCCCTGCTCAAATGCGAATGAAGGAAGGAGAGGCAGTGCTCACATTTCTGTACGCTGTGGTCCTTTACTTTTATCAGCTTTTGCCCTCTTGACTTTAATTGCAGTGGCGTTAAGAAGAGGTGTTGAGGCCTGATCCAGAGAGGCGTTCAAGTCTTTCCCCAAATCATTCACAATCTTTTGTGCTATGCGCAGCTTCTTGACCGCATGATGGACCGTCTAGGCAAGAACAGAGACGACACAGAAATGAGGGCTTGCTTCAACGAGAGTTGAGTAAAAGACATGCTGCACAACCGTTTCTACCTCCAATGCATCCTGCATCCTCACGATGCATTTGTAGAGCTCGTAATCCAGTGTTTGCAATCGGTCCGATGAGCGGTTGAGAAGGGAATTTGAAGACAAGTTTAAGTTCCCTTGCATGTGTTGTGTGCCCTTAGGGCAGCATAAAGACCCACTGGGGATGCTTCCATCGGTGGATGCGGCACACCTACTCTCTGCGCTACTACTGCTACTGGAAGCCTAAAGTTGTTGAAGGAGTCACAAAGGTTATGGAGTGGCGTATTAACTGCTAACTTTAAACCATCACTCAAAGAATATATCTCAAATCTGACTTCCAGTCATTGGTTGCATAAAGCAGGAGCACGACCTGCACCTGCGAACCGCGATTGTCAATGCCTGCTATGAAGCCCAAATGGACGTCAATGCAATCCCATTGACATGTCGGTAAAAGACAGACCGATGGTGGTGCTAGGAAGAGGCTGGCGAAAGCCTTTGTGTCATGACAGAGTCTTTTGTGCACTCACAAGAGATTGTGCAGCACGTTATTAACCCGTCACTAATTGCCTCCACCTCTAGTTCCTTGAGCATGAAGTGTTGAATCACAAAATCAAACCCAGTGGACTAATTTTACTTCGTCAAGGTCTAGTCGCAGTCACTAGTCTCGAGTACTAGCATCAATAAAGCGGTTCGCTGTTGAGTTCTACCTGTTTCAGAGGTCACAGATTTAACAGTTCTACTTGGAAGACAGCTGAGGCTGAGGATCCAACTGAATAACCTCCAGTTCATGTCTCCAGGATGTGTGTCTCTTAAGCGCTAGTTCAAACTGATCCTCACTGCCAAAACCGTTGTTTTCAATGTTGTAAAAAACTATCCAATTAGAGAAGCTTTAAGTAGATTGACTTTCACTTGAAGGGTGCAGAACTCACCGATGACGTGGATTTGGCACTGAGTCCAAAGGAAAACGTCCCATCAGAGCATACACTGTCCTCTTCATAACAATTTGACTGACTATGACCACTTGTTTCGTCATGCCAGCAGTGTCTCTCCCCATAGCGACTGCCACAACTTTCCCTTCCCAAGTCCGGGAGGGTTGCCACAGTTAAGGGCTGCTCAAGCCTTGCAGCTACTTCAGAAGAGTGGCTGGAGTAATAATCGGCTGAAGGTAAAGATTTACTTTATGTTAGAATAAGTGAGGAGTGGAGAAGGAAAAGAGCTTGGAGGGTGGCTTGCCAAAGTCCGTGCAATTCCCCGCATTGTTCTCGTCTATAGGCGAATTAGGAGGTGAGATTAAAGTGCACGGGTCAGGCGAGGTCATTTCCGAATCCTCTTGCGCCAAACTCTCCTTTGAGCCCTCACTACTGGAAGCATCTAAAGACAGAGAGAAGGAATGCTGAATGGCATTTACGAAAGGCTAAGCAGCCTCTTCCCCTCCCATTCTTCCCCCTCCCCCCAAAAAAAAACCCAATCATCCGCATGACGCAC